CACAGAGAGAAGAGGTGGGGCTGCCCCTTGGGAGGAAGCTGCAGACCATAAATGGGCTCTGCTCTGTGTCTGTACACTACTGACATTTCAGTAAATTACTGAAGACATCAGGGGGTCATCACACTTGCTCTGCCCCCCTTGCCTGACATAACTGTAGGTATCTCACTACAGAATGTGGTGCATTTTAGCACACATTTGTCCTCCTCTCTCTGCCTACCTGTGTATGAGGATCTGGGTTCATAAGAAGCTCTAACACAAAGCACACAGAGCCCTCTGACATTACTCATCACAGTTTACAACGTCCTGGGCAGGGGCAGAGGAGGGGCAGGGACTGAGCTCTGCTCTGGGGGGACCAGGGACAGCAGCCAGGGAATGGCTGGAGCTGTGTCAGGGCAGGCTCAGGTTGGATCTCAGCCAAAGGTTCTTCCCCCAGAGGGTGGTTGGGCACTGCCCAGGCTCCCCAGGGCAGTGGGCACAGCCCCAAGGCTGCCAGAGCTCAGGGAGGGTTTGGACAACGCTGTCAGGGACAGGGTAGGATTGTTGGGGTGTTTGTGCAGGGCCAGGAGTTGGACTGGATGATCCCTGTGGGTCCCTTCCAGCTCTGGATATTCCATGATTCTACTGCTGTTTATGTGCTACTGAAGAGTAAGAACTTCGTATCACTTTCTTTTGCTTCCTCTTTAGTCCCCAGGGAGAAACATCAATGACCCATATCCACAGTGCATATAATAACTTACTATAACACATCATATTCATATTCTGGAGTCTGGATGAAGAAATATTTTAGGAGGCATAGCTAAGGAAGTTAAATGTGTTTTTTCTCGTCTACAAGGGATTCCTTGGCCTCTGGAGAGGATGTTTCCTGGGTTAAAAACGAGCTGTTCTTAGGCTGTGTTTGGATAACGTCTGTTACACAGACTCTGTGACTTGCTTAGGAATGAGCATGAAAATTAATCTCCTTCTTAAGAGGATATATAGATGAGGGGAAGCTTGAGAGATTATTATATCCTGTTTGAGGGCATATCAAGTGAACAGAGCGTAATATTAGTCATAATGATACATTTCTATCTGCCATTAGCATAATATACCTGTATAGAAACTTAAAAATCTATTACTTCATTAGTGAAGAGCAGGAGCATGTTTGCTGCAATGCTTCAAACTGTCACTTTGGGCCCTGCTTAAAAGTACCAATCAGGCAGTTGTGGTTTTGACTGAAGGCAGCTGCATCTATTGCTCATAAAGCCTGTTGTATGAATTTGTCTGTCTTTGGGAATCATCCTGAGGTGCAGCTCCTGCTCTGAGGCTGTGGATGGGAAAAGCAGGATGGGTCTGTTCATTTGCTAATGAGGGATGAGGGGCTCCTTGGCTTCATGGATCAACAGCAGCTTTTCCCTTCTCTAAACTGAGGATGTGAGATTAGGATGAATGACCAGATTTATGCCTCTGTCTATGACCAAATAACAGGGACAGCCACAACCTCTGTCTTGTGCTCTGTTATTTGTCACTTCTGGGGGTGGTGTTAAAACAACAGAAAAACCCTGAATTAAGAAGTGCTCAAAATGCCTTCAGTAAACGTTGAGGCTGCCTTGGGTTTTCTGCCTTCTTTCCCAATACCACACTGAAATATTAATTAGCATCTCCAGTTCTGCCTTCCTCTCATAATTAAGGGTTTGCACAGCTGAGAGTCTGCAATTGTTGGGAAAGCAGCCTTTAGAATCCCTTAGGATTTGTTTTCCTTCTTAAAATCATAAACAATGTTGGTGTTGACCTACATAGCCCCCGAGTTTTCTTTTTTTAACCTAAATTGTTGCAGAGGCTACTAATTATAGCCTACTCAAAAATAAATTAGCAACCCATCAGTAAAAATTACATTAAAAGCAACATTATTTCCCATAACATTAATAAGCCCTTTTTGGGTGTGATTTATTTGTGCAACAATTACTGTAAAGTCTCCTGGAAGATGTATTTCTGTGTAGTTAATGTAATATACATGTATGCAATTTTCCATTTTAGTGCCTATTGATTGCTTCATTTTTCATCTGTATGAGGCTATTCTTATAATTTCCTCTGGGCTTTCAGGACTGGCAGACATCAAGGGAAAATCATAGTGGTGTCCTGTGGGAAATGCAAAAAGGCAAATAGATCAGAGTCAGATGGAAAGGACTGAGTTCAAGTGCACTTGCATCATGAGAATTTCAACTGCCTTCCAGCCTTTTAGAGATCTGAAAGTATTTTATTGAAGTAACTTTGCTTTTATGTATTTTACTGGGAAATGAATTCTAATTGTGAGCAGAGTCCTTGTTCGTGGAAGGGAAGTGTGTCCGTGCTGCTCTGTTTGACAATCTCCAAGTACACCAGGTCAGGATGAATGTTTCTTGCTCTCAGCTGTATCATCTGAAAATCATTTGAAAACTTAGGTTCAAGTTACAGGTAGCTCAAGGAAGTTTTATCAGAGAAGTCTAGTCCCCAAAATTCAGATTTGCTGCTTCAAATGTCCAGGGTTGTAGGGCACACTAATATCAAAATGTAAGAGAGGGTAAATTCACTTATATCCAGTTCATTGAACTGAGAAGCAACTGGTTTAGTTCAAAACAAGAAGGAATGTGCACAAGTTGGAGTGATCCCAGAGGAGGCCACGAAGATGATCAGAGGCTGGAGCAGCTCTGCTCTGGAGACAGGCTGAGGAAACAGGGACTCCTGGACAAGAGAAGGCTCTGGGGGGACCTAATTCTGGCCTTTCAGTACCTGAAGGGGCTCCAGGAGAGCTGGAGAGGGACTTTTAAAAAGGGTGTAAAGGGGCAAGGAGAGTGGCATCAAACTGAGAGGGCAGGGCTAGATGGGCTATTGGGAAGGAATTCTTCCCTGGGAGGGTGGGGAGGCCCTGGCACAGGTTGCCCAGAGAAGCTGTGGCTGCCCCATCCCTGGCAGTGTCCAAGGCCTGGTTGGAGCAACCTGGGCTAGTGGGAGGTGTCCCTGCCCATGGCAGGGGTGGAACTGGGGGATCTTTAGGTCCCTCCCCACCAAACTATTCCATGATGCCATGGACTGCAATCCTGATCCTTGTTAATTGGTTCCTCTCTGCTCTCCCCTCTCAGCCTCCCTGGAGGGATGTGCTGGGAGGGACAGGCTCTGTTTGCAGTCAGGTGGTGTGATGGTAATTCCAGGCAGGAATTTATCTTCACAGCTCTGAGTAAGATAATTAAATATCTCCTTATTAATACAGCCTGAGTGTCACAGTATGTAGCTGTTTATAATACAGCCTGAGATAATGTAGTTAATTTATGTTACACTGGCAGTGGTAGCTGTAACTTTTTGCTGGTTAAATGGTTACCTGTGCTTTTACAACCACTTGACAAAGAGAATCAGGTCCAAGATTTGGGTGCAATTGAAGAGGGCAGGAACAAAACTGGAGCAAAGGAGCAGCTCACACACAATCTTCTAAGGCCACATTATTCTGCTGAGATCGAAGGTGTTGAGAGGGACATGGATGAGAGAACTCCCAACCAAACTCATTCAGAGCTCCAGTTAAATCTCTGCTCTAAGCCAGGTCACTAAATCCAGTCTGTACTTAGTGGGGAGAGGAGAGTTACAGTGGGATGGTTCACCCAAACTATTTTAGGAAGTGCCAAAATTTGAGCGAATGAGAGTCAGAGAGAGAAATCCAATGTATCCGTGTCCAGCTGTGCACCTCTGTGAACCTCTTCAGTTTTGTTACAGAAAATGATAGATTTGTAACTGATAAACACTTTGAAGGAACATTAGATTTTCAGAGGTGCCCACAAAGGAGTTATCAGATACCCAATTAACCTTTCTGGAGGGATTTGCCTGTCTGACTTCTTTAGCCTCCTTTGACAATCCTGGTAGCTGTAACTATTCCATAATGAAGGCCTGTGCAAATTACATGGAGAAAGTCCTGTGCCTCTGTCATTTCATGCATTGCTTCCCTTAGTGCACAGAGCAAAACGCTTTAGAGAGGTGTTTCCTTGTGAACAGTCATTTGGAGGTTATATTTATGCCCTACCAAAAGGGTCAGCTTAAAAACACCCTTGCAAGATTAAGCAGGGGGTCAAAATCAGATATTAAACAAATAGTAAAAAGATAGAAATTCAGCTCTTTCCTTTGAGTGGATTTTAAACTCTCGATCGAATTCTGCTCATGAGTTGGCACTCAGTGCTTTCTGCCTTCCCTGAAGCTCTTCCACTGGCACTTCAAATTCAGGTGGGTCTTCCAGGGCCACTGGCTCCCACTGTCTTGAGGAGTAAAAAAGACTTCGAGCACTGACACCTTCCAACTGAAAAGAAAAAAAAAAAAATCTTTTTTATTATGGCCTGATCTTCTGTGAAAGATCCTTTTCTACCTTGATCATCCACGGGCCCTGCAGACTCTCCAGCAGGCTACTACCTGGGCCACTTGTTACAAAGGATTTATTATTAGATGTTACAGCTTTTGCAAGCTGTTCCTCTGAAGTATTTTGATGTGGTTTGTACAGTCACCCTGCTGGAGTGGTAGGAGGTGCTTTGTATTTGGGTTACAGCTTCACCCTCTTGAAGCCTCAGTGTAGTGTCTTTGTGTCACCCTCTGCCATCTGCAAGGATCTTGCTCTTTGCACTTCTGAGGTGCAGAGTTTTTTTCTGAGCTTAGTTCAAGTTGTTCTTGATTGCAAGAAGAGTCTCTTGCTTTTCCAGTCAAGATGGACCTTGAATTTAAACACCAGGGGGATCTGTATGAAGAACTGGATCCTCAGTGCTGGCCAGGGCTGCATCAAGAGTTGCTTTTCCTGTGGTTCCCTAATTAACTGATTAATAAACAGTTGAAAAATTAGTCTTGGCACTGTGCCTGAGTATGACATTTCCTTGACACACATGAGGGTATTGGATTCTCCCTTTCCAGCTGCATTTTTGGTGCTCTGTTTCTGTAGCCTCTCTGAGCACACCAGTCACAGCTGCTGCAGCAACAGGCAGTTGGTAACATAAATGTTTTCTTGTATTTCTCTTTTCAAGGCTTGAAGATGGTTCTGCTGTTGTATGTGCAAGAGTTTGTGCTGAGAAGAGGCAGCTGGGACAAGGCTCTGCCCAGCTCCTTGTGCAGTGTCTGCATGATGAGGCAGTGGGTGTGCACAGAGGATTTCAAGCTTCCCACGCCCAGAAACTTGTTCTTCATCCAGCTCCAGGAATGTTGAGAGTGAGTTCACACAAAATACTGGATGTCCTCAAGAAAAGAGATCTTTCTAACTAAGGCTGAAAGGATGAAGCACTGGATGTGCCTCAAAGTCCTCCCTCCTCCAGCTCACTGTGCCACACATGTGATGCAGATGGCAACCAACACTTTTAGTATCACCGACTTTCCAAATGTTCTCCTCTGCTGCTGCAGGAATGTTCCAGTGATCTGCACAAACCTGGCTTCTGTTCCCTGCTGTGTCCTCCTTTCCCTGCCTTTGGTGGGCATGAGGAGCTGCCTGATTTCAGTTACTTTGTAGTTTTCAAGCAGGTCTCCCAGAGAATCACACACATGTCCTGTTTGCTGTATTTGTCTCCCAGAGAATCACACACATGTCCTGTTTGCTGTATTTGTCTCCCAGAGAATCACACACATG